CAGTAGTACGCCTACACACCCCCAGCCTATCACCTGGGTGCTAGTCGGCTCCTTCTAATAGACACAGACGACGTACATCTCTTCTTATCTTGCCGCCATCTGTATACACCACAGCCGTTTGCACGAGTCCATCTCCGTCTGTCTCCACAGTATCGATAATACCCATGGGCTATTTGCCACGTGTTATAGTTTCAGATGCAACCGATACGATGTCGCCTGTTTTGAAATTACGATGCTACGAAAGGCACTTTTGTCGCACTTGCAGGGTTGGTATATACTCCCTCATCCGTCGACGCCAGGAGTTATTAGCAAGATGATTGACTTGTCTCCACCGTCTTGTATAGCTCTTCATCATTGTGAGACCTAGGTTTTGATCGTTCTCCGTCAACAACAATAAACTGTTCGGAGACAGTGCTCTTCTTTTCGTATAATCCGATATGCACGGCACCAGCGATCGGCTATTCAATATCCCTTCGATTAATACGAAACAAGTTGCGTCAGCTGCTCCTTCGTCAACACAAGCAGTAATCTGCGCATGGAGGGTATCATTTCCTCCCATACGCACCCCTATGACTTGAGGAAGGAGGGTTAAAAAAACACTTTATACCATCACATGCAAGACGGTCGTTATTCTTGTGTCCATCCCAGCGTCTACTTGCATCCCTTAGTTCTGATACGGCACCCACGAAATTTGGTCCGCTATCACTATAAATCTCTGAAGGTCTTCCTCATTTACCGATGAATCTCAATAGACACAGGATAAACGAATCTGTATTGAGACTGCCCGCCATCTCCAAGTGCACGGCTCGGGTCCGTAAACACGTAAACATGTAGCCATATTTATTTTCCAAACCACGACCCTTGCGAACAAACAGACATCCAAAATAATCAACTCCTACTGAGTTAAAACAGCACCAACCCTTTTGGACTCTACATAGCGGTAGGGGGCCGTCATCTGCTGACCTGCAGAAGCTACCATTTTCCGACATACTATGCATTGACCTATTACTCACTTCACTGCACTGATTCCCTTGAAAATCCAATATTTTTCACGGATCGCTGACAAAACCTGTGACGTACCACTATGTCCTTCTCTGCTATGATAG